TTTTTCTTCCCTTTTTTTTTTTTTTTTTTTTGTTAACGAACATAAAGAGTAGGTAGAATTGCAACGTTGCTTCATGCATATACGAAAATGTTGTAATTCAAAGTTAAAACATCGATGTTGTATTGTAGGATGGATTTGTGTCTTTGCTTCCATAATACATGTATTGAATGTCTCACACATACGATTGTTAATCATATCACACTCAAAAAACACTTACGAAAGATGCCTTGCACCAAAGCTTTAAAGTACTTTCCATCATATATAATCATTTGTCCTCATTTTTGGTTTCTGGATGATTGAGGTTACAATATTAGGGTGTTGATGACTATTTAAAATTTTTTTAAAATAAATTAAAAAAATTAAGTGTGAAAGATTAGAAAATTGAAATTGTCATTCATTTAAATTATAAAATAGAACAAATCACTTAAAAATGATTTGTGTAAAGATCAAGATTCAAGAATTTAGTTAGAAGTTCAAAAGGACATACATGTACTCTACAATCTTTCATGTAAATATAATTGAAGTTTTAATTCAGCTTGTTTATTCTTAGGTTGTGTTAAGTAAGCTTGGAAAGCAAATGGGCAGAATTGTAACATTTGAAAATTTTAGGACTGGATTGGACATAGTCAAAAACATGCATGCACAATTGCAAGAAATTGAAAGTTAAGGGACTGATTTGATTAAATTCGAAATATTAAGGACTAATTTGTAATTATTTAAAATTTGTGAACCAAATTGCTTGGTCACAGAAAGTTTCGAGTGAAATTAAAATTCAATAAAAGATATTTTTGATTTTTTTATTTTAATTAATTAAAGGTACACAACTTAAAATTAATTAACTATGATAATTAGTTTAATTGGATTATTAATTTAATATTAATTAAAATTAATGAATTATCTTCATTAATAATTAAAATAATTAAAAATCTTTATGTATCTTCAACCACATGTAAAAAAATGTAATTAATGTACTTTTATCATTAAATTATAAAAAAAATTAAATTTAATTATAATTTTAATGATTAACTAATTAAATTAAAATTTAATGCCATTAATATTAAAATTAATATTAATTTTTTTATATTTTATATGAATTAAAATTAATTACATTCTTA